CAGGTGATGGGAGGAGACATCTAGCCCCAAAGACTGAACAGGAGTAAACACCTCCATCCAGAGACCAGAAAGTACAGATCAGAGCTTGTCCTTGAGGCAGGGAAACTGTATGTTCCCAAGAGGAAAGCAGATCATTCACTCTGAAGGTGCCAGATCCAGTCCCCTGCCATTTGAACCAAATGCAGACACTGCCAGCGATGCTGCTCTGCCGAGGCAGATTGATAAAATCCTCTCCCAGCCTCATCCCAGCACAGATCCTACTCTTAGACCAATTGTTTGCTTTCATCCTGAGATGCACTTGCAGACTCACATCAGGAGCTGCAGCTGCAGGTGCAATGTGGAATTTTCATCATGGCAATGCAAACATAGACCATGCTTGGCAGGAAACATGCATACCAATGCAAGCGTCCTCCAGTCCCTATCAATTACCATGTCAAGACTGATCATCAGTCTTGGAGTGCCTTGAAGAAAATGGCTTAACATATATTTTATCTTATTTCATCTACTGAAAAGTTGCAGATCAGGGCTCAGAACCTTCACCTTAAGAACGGATCCATGAAAGAACAGTATTTACATCTAAAAGGACTTGTAATGCTATACTATAACCCCAAATTATGCAGATTTATCTGAAATATCACGAACAGGTCTGCAGAATTGCATATTTAGGGATCTGGAAACAAGCTAGTGATGTGGTGGGGGAAGACTTTTTTTGTCTTTTTTTTTTTTAAAAGGAGACTGAGACTTTGTTAGGAGAAAACAAAAAGAGACTCAGAAAGGGGACCTGAACATGTATAGCCTGGTAAACAGCACCAACTGGGGAAGATGGAGCTTCTACACAAGATAAAAAAGGTGTTACACAAAGAAGGAAAAAGACTTATGACACATTTCCTGATCAGAGAAAAGCAACCCAACTTCAGCAAGATTCAGGAAGGGACTGCACATCAGCATGCAAGAACAGTCAGTGCTGTTACACTTCAGTTGTGGGGAAAGAATAAGCATCCTGCCTCACAATCTAAGACCTAAGTACTAAAACTCAGTGCACAGAAACCATCCCACATCTACCTGCTGCCCTACTTTGACAGCTTCCTCTAATAAAGCTAGTGCTGGTCATTCTTGGGTTGGAAACTGGCACGGATGCCCTCAGGTCAGATCCAAACTGTCCATCTTTTCTCTCAGAGAGAGCAAAAAGCAGCTCCTCTTCCCCCAGATCTAACAGGATATGTCTTCACATCTCCCTTGCTTACCTTCTACCACCTTGTGATAAGCAAAGTGCAGATAGAGGAGGAAAAGCATATGCAGAGCAGCAAGGGTCCCACACAGGATGAGCCGCTGGGTATGCCCCACGGTGCGCGACACCAACACAGCAACCTAGGAAAGAGGTGATTAGAGACAAGGTAGCTGCTACCTGAGCCTCTGGCATTCCAGTCAGGAGCATACAGGAGGACAGGCCAAGTAGTGAGAGGCAGTGGAAACACTGCTCAGAGCCTTTTTTACAGTTTGCACCAACAAATTCAGAGTAATCTGTTTCACATAGGTGAACCTTGCCCAGTCTCACCAAGAGTGCAGGATGCTCAGGCATGACTCTCCACTGCAGCAAGGGCTGTAAGGGAGTAAATCTCCTACAGCTGTTAGAATGGGTGAGGATATGAATCCAAGTGTCACCTCCATACACCAGTGGCCAAATGACCCAGGAGCATCAGGCTGTTCTTCACAGCAGCCTGAGCGGCTGTGAAATGAACTGCCAGGCCCAAGGAACAGAAAGCAAACAACACTTCCCTCCCTTTTTTTGTCCCCAGAAGAGGAGGGCCCCAGGCTGCCTGCCCCTTACCATTCGTAGTGTAGAGAGTCCACCAACACCCAACCAGAAGATATAGAAGAGGGAGTGGAAGTGGATATTATAGGTGACAAAGAGAGTGATGCAGTGACCAAAAAGACCGTAGCCCTGACAAAACAAAAATGTCCATGTTACAAGTGTCAGTCCCACACAAAGGGACGTTGATCAAGAGCATGGGGAGCCTATTCCTGCAACACTTCACCAAGGCAAAGCTTCGCAAACCACTCATTCAATGCCAAAGAGTCAACCAGCACAACAATTTTAACAGCAGCTCACACCCAGATAATCTGTCTGAAGGATTCAGAGGGATGTCAGAGATTGCCACTTTGGGAAACAGATGAAAGAGCCTCTGATTCCAGAGAAATTGCAATCTCCTGGGTTTTTACCACCAGGCTCTCAGATCAGGAACTGCAAAGCAGGAGACCTACACGAAGGAACTGCCTCTTTGTGCTATCACTGTGCCTGGGATGGGGCAGGTCAGAAGAGCATCCTGGAATTCCAGGTTGTCCCAGTGCAGTTACCTGGGACCATGATTTACAAGGACTTTTCCCATTCTCTTGGGAAGAGCTTGTGCTGGAACACCACGCAGCCAACCTGTTATCTTGGGGCAGCTCCATCTGTACATACCAACAGTGACAGCATCTGCACCATCGTGATTTGGGCGTTACACAGATATGCCAGGAAATAGATGAAAGAGGAGACACCCAACCAGTAACCGAAGCAGGTGCCAATGGCTGTGCCCATCAGTGTGCCTTCCCTCTGTGGAGACAGAGTCAGGATGAGGAAGACTCAAAGAAGTGACTTGCCAGCACCCAAATTCCACCTCAGAGAGTCCCAGAGCCTTTCTAGGCATTATCAAATAGCTGGCTAGCAGCGTTCAGGGTGCCACATGACCTACACCCCAGCTCTCCCGGCAGCAGAGCATCAAGCCTTTCTGATGCGTCCTTCCTCCCATCCCCAAACCAAAAGGTTCTTCCTCAGATCAATCTGCTTTTCAGCAAGATGCTGTTGAGTCATGGAAGAGGTTTCTTCTCCATTTCTAGTGTCATTATAGCAATCCAGAGCCCAGTCAAACCACAACTTATCATTGAGACTCGACGTACAATGATGGTGTCGGAGGTCTTCATCCCATGCAAAAGGATGGCCACCAGTGTGAAAACCAGCATGAGGGGTCCATACAGCTCACCTGCAATCTTCTACAGGAGGAGACAGATCAGGGAAGGTTTGGTTAGCGCTCCTGAATACCAGGCTCCCCACCCCAAGCGATGTGAGAAGTGCCTTGGATGAAGTTTATCACCTAGCTGCCTGAGAACAGCAAGGCCACTGCTGATGGGAGCCAAGCAGAACAGGTTGTGTGATGAGGAGCCTGGAATGTATGAAGTCTAGAGGTCTAAAACTGTTCCAGCGCTAAAGGTAGCACACTGAGATTTGGAACAACCACAGGAAAGGGTTTACCAACATTTTCAGGGAGATGAATGCCTAACAAACTCAGGTCCTTAATAACATGGACTACTTTAGTTTTACAAAGTGTCTGTGGGACATTCCCCTGGCCATGGAGTCTGATTCAGCAAGAGAACTCACCTGTGGGAAATTAATCATCTTCACAGGAATCATGGACTCTAGCAGTCTGCATCACAGCACAGCAGGGAATGACATCAGGAGCAGGGAGGACAACAGTATGGTTAACAAAATGCTTCAGAAGTAAAAGATCCCATACACACATTACCAGTATTTTCTGCTGTGGTCACAGGCCTTGGGGGACAGAGATTCCTTCTACAGGGTCACATAAGGTAACTAAAGGATGAAAGCCTTACTGTCAGTGGGTTAACTTTGCCGGAGAGGGGATTCAGTGAAAACGTTTAGGGAGCGAGCCATGGGGATGAGAGATCATTGACAGAACAGCAGGAAGGAAAGGCACCTTTCTTCATCCAGCCTCACAAAACTTTGCCTTTTTGGACACAGCTCTGTTGCACACCCAACAGAAGCCACGTAACGCAGCTGAGTACTAAAAGGCTGAAGATGCCCCAAAGCCTTTTTTTCTGCCCTGAGCAGCAATGCTGGGTGACAGGTGATAGGGCTGCCAGCCCACCTGGGGGACCTCATTAAGGAGAGCGGGACAAAGCACAGTGCGTTTCCCCATATCTGAGCCTTCCTGCAAGGCTGGCAGCCCACCCCAGCTTGCTCGCTCTGGGGGGACAGCCAGCCTCCCACTGGCCCCCCGTGCCCCCCGCCGCCGGTGGAGACGGCCCAGGCTGAGCCCAGCCCACCTGGCTCGCACTTGGATGGGCTCCACATCAAAGTACGGCCGGAGGATGTCGATGTTGGCGTAGAGGCTGAAGGCCCTGGAGGCTTGCCTCTTCCCCACCTGCCACATCTGCGGAGAGAAGGGAGCTGGCAGCGGCCGGGGGGGCAGGCGGGGCCCCCCAGGGCTAGGGGCGGCAGGGGGCCGCGCTCACCTCACCTGGTCAGCCACCTGCCGCCCCAGCTGCCCCCGCAGCCCCTTCATGCCCAGGAACTCCCCGTCCTCCTCCTCGGCGGCCCCCGCCTCGCCCTCCACCTCCTCCTCCTCCTCCTCCTTCATGCGCTGGTGCATCTCCCCCATGTCCTCGAAGCTGGAGCCTGACGTGTCGTCCATGTTCTCCATGTCGATGACGGCGGAGCCGCCACCCTGCACCGGGGCGGACAGCGTCAGCGCCCGCTCGGCTCGGTCCCACCGCGCCGCCGCCACCCCCGGCCCGGCCCCACCTGCATGTTGTCCTCGAAGCCGCCCCAGTCGGCGGCGGTGCCGCTCCTGCCGCCGCCCTCCGCCGCCCCCGGCACGGACATGTTG